ACAAAAGCACCATTATTGTGTTAATAGATGAGGTTTTTTTTTCTAAACTAAAGCCTCAGTATTGAGGTTAAACTGAAGCATTGGCACTCTGTGATAAATAAGTGGGTCTTAACTTAGGCACCCAGTCACTCTCCTAAAGCAACCACTAAGAAAATCACTAAAGAATAGTGAAGAAATCATTAAAGGAAATGAAAAGGTACACTAGGAAATATTCACTTTAGAAGAAGGAATTAAAGGAGAGACAGAAGAACAAAAGAGATGCAACATACAGAAAACAAAAAATAGACATAAATATCAACAATAACATTAAATATAAAAGGATCAAAGAATCTAGCTGAAGGACAGGCATTGCCCACTGGGCAAAAAGAAAAGTTTAACTGTGTGCTGTGTAAATGAGGCATTGTAGAGTCAAAGATACAAACAGGTTGAAAGAAAAAGGATGACAAAGGATATCAAATGTGAAGAACACCATTGGAAGGCTGCAGTGGCCACAGTAACACCTGACAAAACTGTAACAGAAAACATTTTCCTAGAGATGGAGTGAGCCATCTTACAGTAAAGACAGGATCAGTCTATCAGGAAGACAGACAGGGTACAGGTCTGTGTGTGTGAGAACAAGAGTTCTACCACCCACACAACTGTAGGGTAAACGGACAATTTAATAACAATCCCAAGGAACTTAATCTCCTTTTGAAAGCAGACAGGACAACTGGGCAAAAGAGCAGCAAGTACACGTGACTTGGATTCAACACCAGAAGCCACCTAGGGCTGGCGGCACCTCCAGAACAACTTAGCCCTCATGGACACCCCTTGGCCTCGCCTGCACCTGGCACATCCTCCAGGACCAACCTGTAGAACCACATGTGAGGCATAAAAACGCAAGATACTGAGGAGCACACAGACATTCTGACTGGTGAGAATATGGGAGTCTTTCCTATTTCGTTTAATTGCTAATTGCTCCATAATAAGCACATTATATTTGCCAGACAGAAAGGACCAATATACAGTAACTGATGATCAGTGATGGGCCAGCATGAAACTTCCCTTGCGTGGACCGCCGAGTCCTCACCACACAACCCAACACTGCTCTAGCCACTCACAGTCTCAGGGCCCAGGAGGCCCTGCCAACTCCCCACTCGGCCAACCTCAGCCACGTCTCCCTGCCAGTGTGTCTGGGACCCCCGGGACCCCCACCTGCCCAGGCTCCTTCAGGCCAGGACTCCGAGGCTGGTGTGGAGCCACCTGTACCAGTCAGGACATGTTTTCTCTCCTCAGTCCCTGTCCCTCACTTGGAGCCAACACAGAGATGGACAGGGAGGCCAGAGGACACTGTGACAGGCAAGCAGTGACCGCTGGCTCCATGGCTCCTCAGAGCCCAGGCATCCTTAACCACCGCTACTGTGGTGGCCTCCAGCCCTGCCACACCTGTCGTTCCCGGATGAGTTCCCGGATGACGCCTGCCATCCTGTTCCTCCCTGGTGGCTGAGCCCTGTCTACGCCCTCGTCATCTCCAGGATGTGGAGAGAATGGGATGCCTGCCTCAGGACGCCCCCAGCCTTTTCCTGATCCCTGAGGGCTGCCTGCCCAGCCCTCCTCCGGGGGCACTTTGTGATGCCAGGGTCCCAGCCTGTCTACAGCTGTGACACTTGAAGCCTCGGGAGCCCCCCTTTCGGAAGGAGACCTGTCTCCGTGCTGCCAGTGCTGCCGGCTGGGCTGAGCTGAGGATCATCAGGTGGCCTGGCTGGTCAGCTGTCTTTGGTCACATGTCCTGTGAGTCTGATTATCCTGTTGTGGGTCACCTGGGTCCCCACGCCTTCTATAAAGGGAAAGGATGACAGCATGAGCCCTGCAGTCCCCACCGTTACCTACAAACACAACAGCACAACTTCTGAAGAATCCCAGCATTATGTGTCATTTCTCACCCAGCCAGCCTCTCCTCTTTGGGCTTACGCTCTCCAGCCCTGCCCAAGCCTGGGAGGGCGCCTACGTGGCTGCCTGCTTCTGTAGGCTCTGAGCTCTGGGCGACAGGAACCAGGTGGTTTCCACAGGAGAGCTTCGATGCCCCTGCCTGGTAAAGAGGACCAAAATCAAAACCAAAACCACACCAGCTGTCTTTACAGGCAAGGAAACTGATCTTCCTTCAAGGCAAAATAGCCACACTGACAAAGAACCTCCTGATGGGACGCTAGCAAGTGGCAGAGATGAGATTAGAAGCTGCACGAGAAAGGAGCCCCGGGCAGCCACCGGCTTGGGTGGGCACCCGGGGGCTCGCAGGCTCTGGAGGTACGGATGCCAGCAGCAAAAGCTCAGGGAATGGATGAGTCAGAGTGGCCTCAAATCCCTGCGATCAGGGTTCCTCAGACCCCCTTGAGGCAGCTGGGGACACTCTAACTCATAAAACAAAAGAAGGGACCCACTGACCCTGAACCCCGACCTGCCGAGTGTGTGTGTGGGGGAGGCCAGGCTAATCTCAGCCGCCAGCTGCCAAGCTTTTCGCTGGAGGCTGCATCGAGCTGGGAAGGGGCTGGGAAGGGCTGATGGATGCTCTGCACACTTCTCCGACTCTGTTTCTGTAACGTGCGTAGCTCCTTTGGCTGTGCCTTTGCATAGATTTTGTAATCAGCTTGTACTGGTCTGCAAAATTCCACAGGGAGTTCGACCAGAGTTGGGTTGGATCTGTACTTTTGATTGAGTCACACCTTAACACCAGGTGATCACAAACAGGGTGTGGCAGACTTTATTTTCCCCCAGCCTTTGATTTTAAGTCTTATACTGTGCAGGCAGCACATAAACTTTGTGGGGGAGGTGACTTCTTGCATTCCAAGGCCAGTGTAAGTGGTAATTTTAACGTTTCCGTTTCTAAGTGTTCACTGCCACTACACAGCAGCTTAGTCGACTTTGCATTCAGACTCTGGTCCTAGAGTAGCTCTCTTTAAATTCTCTGGTGCCTTGCACAGTGGCCCACACCTGTAGTCGCAGTGCTCAGGAGGCAGGAGGATTGCTGCAAGTTCTAGACCAGCCTGGGCTACACAGTGAGTTCAAAGCCAGGCTGAACTACATAGTGGACCCTGTCTCCCCTGCCCACCCCCCGTAATTCTCTGGCTTCCTGTACAGGGGATCATGTCATGCACAAAAGGCCATGGCCTTATTCACTCACTTCCATTTGGGTACCCACTGTGCTGTACAGCGATGCGGGCACAGTGTGCCCCTGCTAGAAAACACAGGCCTCGCCATTTGTTCCAGGCTCACCAGGGCCTTTTTTGTAACTGTTCTTTCTCAGGTTTGTTCTTAGTTTGGTTTTTGGTCATACATGGCTGTTAGATTTGTTTTCTGTTCCTTTTGGGGGAAATTTCTCGAGATCATTCATGTGCCATGTTACTCATCCTTCTAAGGATACACCGTGAAGTTTTTCTGTATTCACTGTCATTTTCTGCATCCTCTGAGATGATCTTTTCATTTTCCTTTTGTGTATTACTCAGTGAGTTACATTTATGTTTTTGAATAGTGGGTGAACCTTTTATTTTTGGGGTAGATTTTACTTGGGTATGACATGCTCTTTTTTTTTTTTTGTCTTTTTCATTTTTATCGGTACCAGGGATCGAACTCATGACCGCCTGCTTGCAAGGCAGGTGCTTATGCCGCTGAGCTAAATCCCCAGCCCCTGACATACTCTTTTAATATACTGCCAGATTTCACTTTGCTAATAAAAAGTCTCTATGAGCCGGGGATTTGGCTCTGTAGTGTAAGTGCCTGCCTGACAAGCACAAGATCATGAGTTCAATCCCTGGTACCCCCCCAAAAAAAAGTCCCTGCGAGCTTACGTAGTGCCTTACATCCGCTCTTCTTGCTGCTTCTGAGTAGAAACTACTGTCCTGAAGTTACCAATGAGAAGCAAACAGTTAATTCTTTAACAAGTCAGTATGTATCGGGCCGAGGGTGTAGCGAGAAGTGCTTTCCGGGCTGGCACAGACCTCGGAGTCAGTCTCAATCTCAAGGGCAACCTGGATTGGCGTACAGCTGGCATCCAACCAGTCTACCAGTAATGAGAAAGTGAACTCCAAAAGAAGCCTTAGAAATAGAAACATACAAAAATATGCTGGCAGTAAAGGGGTGAGCTGCCCTGCTCCCCTTGGCTTGGCGTGGCTGCCCCCAAGCTCCCAGCTAAAATGGTTAAGGATGCGGGGAGAGCAGAGGCAGGGTGAGTCCCTGTGTGCGCCTTTAGTTACAAACTCTTTCCTTAATAGCATCACAGAGCAATAAACCTAGCAGCTTTTCTTTTCTTTTTTTATTTTATTTTATTTTATTTTTTAAAAAGGACTGGAGAGCGCCCGCGGGTCTCGAACCACCGGACTAATCGGCCCAGTCCAGGCGGTTGGGAAGCCAGACTTGAAGGAACTGCTGGGCTAAAGCCAGCCCCCTAGCAGCTTTTCTAAAGGCATTTTATTCACATTTGACGCGAGACTGAGAAAATGTCAATGATTAAGTATCAACAGCGGGCAGCCAACTTTGTGTGCCCCACCACTCTTTCACTGTTAGGGCTGTGGCCTTGCACTAAGATTCTTATGGTTCATCTCCCCCAGGAACTGAGGAGGGTGTGCACTGTAAGGAGGAAAGGATGCAGTTCCTCTCTCAGAAGAAAGTGGAGAAGAAAGATTCTTTTTCATTTCAAAGCAATTTGTGTTGGCAGGCATGGTGGCACACACCTGTAATCTCAGCAGTTGGGAGGCTGAGGCAGGAGGAACACCATGAGTTTGAGGCCAGTCACAGTGAGTTAAAGGACAGTCTAAACTGCAGAGTGAGGCCCTGTCTAAAAAAAAATAAAAAAAACAAAAAGCCCCCGAAGACAAATTTGTGTGAATAATAACTGGCCAGAGTTCTCTTTTTCGTTGTATGGTCTCAGAGTAATACAAAACTTTCTTGAAAATCAAGATAAATTACAAAGTTTCTTACATATTGAATGGTTAAAACTGCTATTAAACTAAAGAACAAATGCAAAACTCTTTTTACAGAATAGTATAAATGTTTATTTTCTGTATGATTTACTTTCCTGTCTGTTTTTACAATATAGAAAAGGGTATTCTTTGAATAGCTCTAGTAAATATAAACATAATCATTCTATCTTGGGATGGAAATAGAGCTAAAAAGTCACACACCCAACACTCCCACATAGTCCTTACGAGGGCTGTGTGAGTGTGGCTGTTAATCAGGTTCAGCAATTTGATGCAAATGTCTCAATACAAAGAGTTGTGTAGTGAGTACTGCACAGAAGGGAGGCCCGATGCTTTGGGGGCAGCCTCTTGGAAATCAGAGCTAGTAGCATTTGATTGCACCTTCAGATTTTTACAAGCAAAACATTCTTAAGCAATGTCATCATACATAATCTACAATTGTAATCAGAATTTCACATTTTCTGCACACTGTATATAAATACACATCACAATGGTGCAATTAGAATTAACACAGAATATATACAAAATGAACAAAGTTTAGGTTTAGACCAAAAACTTATTGCAAATTTTTGAAAAATAACTTGATTAGATATTATTTTATCCTCTTACACTAATTTACATTTATACAAAGTTTAATTAGGCCTACTAGATTGAGGTGCTAAGAACGTCTGCACTATCTACATTTAAAGTTACTGCACTATACTTTTATAAACCCAAATTTCAAAAGGAGGATACTTTAATGAATAACAGAATCCTCTTTTGGATTACTTAATTTCTATTGCCTGTATCTTGCATGTTCATATGAACATATATACACACTTAATACATACAACTATAGAGTCCTTGTAGGAAATATAATAATCATACATACTGATAATTACTGAGGATTAAAGTACCTAACAAAATGTCTGAATGCCAGCATGGTTTTGTCATAAAATCAAGAGTCCTACTACCACAGGCTCTTAAACTCATAGTTAACTGAAAATGTAATTACTAATTACACGAAAACACACATACCTTCTGCTTCCCAAACCACTGGCTAAAAACAATGTCACTGTAAACTTCCCTCATAAAAAGAAATTCCACTACAATTTTGAAGCTCTGTTAGGAGACCTGCTTCAGTAAACCAAGTGAAAGTCACACAAAGTTTCAATCTACAACAAGAGCTGTAGAGAGAAAAACGCTTCCTTAAATTCATGTCTTACAGCTTCAGCATTCCTTATTCTCCACCCAAGCTAACTTTATGCTCAATGATTACACGAGGCTCTCTAATGTTTGTACCTTGTCACACACCTCTCACTTTGCGAGTGACCAGTAAGCACTCTGACAACTTATTCCCACACACGACACCTCCTGAGAGGAAGAGGAGACTCTGAGCACTCCTGGCCACTCCTCGCGACAGGAGTACATGGCACAGCTGCTAAAGTCGCCACTATCCCTTCATCTGTGTATGTGTGTGAAAAAGAAGTTTTATTTTAAAATTCTGCCTAGGGATTGCTTCCTCTTTTGATAGTCCAGAACCGAGCCTAAAAAGCTGGTTTTCCTTAAAAAGAGTGCTTTTTGAACACAAGTGCACCTGAATACATTCTGTAAGAATGTATGCAGACCTCTGAGCTGCACATGTTCTAGAATGACTGTACACACCCAAGGCTGCTTTGACTTTCCTACTGAACAAAGCCATACAATACCACACGCTACAAATTCCATAATTTATAAAATGTTCTTTTTCTTGATAGAATCACAAAGACAGAACATCTAATTTTTAAGAAACCCATGCAGAGCCAGGCATGGTAGCACATGCCTGTAATCTCAGCAGCCGGGAGGCTGAGGCAGGAGGATCACTGTGAGTTTGAGGCCAGCCTGGGCTACAAAGTGAGTTCGAGGCCAGCCTGAACTGCATAGTGAAACCCTGTCTCAAAAAAGAGACCAAAAGAAAACAAACAAAAAAAAGAAACTCAAGCAAATTAAAAATCTATATATTACAATAAAAATTAAAAAGAAAAATTCAATTTACAAGGGGTGTAAGCAGAATTAACTAGGATTTAAAATGTATGAATTTCCTCATTTCAAATGTCTTCTCTTTCGGTATTATAATTTCAGGTCTCGGAAAAACAAGGACTGAGTTAAAACACACTAAGTGCTAACTGATGTCCAGAAATCAGCATCCCTGCACCTGTGCTCCGTACAGCTCCACCTTTCCGCCTCATGCCCGGGTCAGCAGTTCATGGCGCACGGGTCACTTTTCGCTTTGCCTGCGGAGTTGATGACGCTCATCAGACAGCGGCCGAACTCTTCCAGGATCATCCGCTCTGCGGCAGCCTTCGGCTTCCCCTTCTTGTCCGCCTGTTCTGCCTGGGCAAGCAGGCAATTACAGGTGGCCTCCACCACCTCCTTGGTAACAAAAGTGAACGGCAACCTGAAATGAGGTTTGTGAGAAGATGGTGATGCTGACAGCACCCAGGCCCTCTCCACAGTCTGCAGCACCTCTACCCTGACCAGCTGTGGAGGCACACCCCTGTAACCCTAGTGTTTGGGAGGCTGAGGCGGGAGGACCACCACAAGTCTAAGGCCAGCCCAGGCTATGCAGTGAGTTCAAGGCCAGCCTGGATTATAGAGGGAGACCACATCACAAAAAATAAATAAATAAAAGAGTTTTGGGTCACACTGGATTTACCATAGTGCACACATCTGTAACCTCAGCACTGAGGCGGCTAAGGCAGGAGGATCATAAACTGGAGGCCAAGCTGGCCTACGTGGGGAGACCCTGTCTTGAAAAACACAAATCAATCCGTCAACAAATCATTAATCCAAAAAAGCCACAAAGTTCCAGATTTTAAACACTCAAACAAATGCTGATGTAACTTTATACTGGCTTTTTAAAAAGTTTTTTTTGTTTTTTGTTTTTTTAGTATTAGGGATCAAACTCACAACCTTGTGCTTGCCAGGCAGGCACTTACGCCACTGAGCTAAATCCTGGACCCGTTTTTATTGTATTGAGTAAACTCCATGTTTGTAGTTCCCACATGGAGTTTCTATCATGAGGAGTTTCCCACGTGGACAAATGGTAAGTGCTTTACTCTTCACTAATACCTTTCATCTCCAATAAAGGTCAGGCTCAGTCACCCCAAAGCTTACGGAAGGCCAGCGAGGATCCTGTTCTACGCTAGCTAAACTGCCCGCACAGCCCCATCTCTACCACTCCACACCGTGCAGTCCACGTGTAAGAGTCATTAGAACAGCTGAGCCACTTTGCACAAAAAAAAAAAGCCTTTCGTTTGTTTGTTTTTTACTGTCCAGGGCCTCCACACCAAGCAATATCTTCAGCCTTTTTATTTTCTTTCATCGTTGAGACAGGGTCTTACCAAGTCTCTCGGCTGCCCAGGCTGGGCTCTATCCTGTGATCTTCCTGCCTCAGCCTCCCTGAGTTCTGAGATTACAGATGTGTGCCACCATACCTGGCTAATGGCCTTACTTTTATAAACACTGGATCTTACTTCAACTTAGGAATACCATATAGAGGGCTTATTTCACTTAATTTCTTAAATTAATCTCTAATAGCAAAAAAAGACTACAACATTAGAATATGGTGGGTCCCCGAGGATGGGAAAAGTGCTTCAAGAGCACAGAAAAAGAGGTAAGAAAATGCAAAAATAACGGGCCAGGGATTTAGCTCAGTGATGCCAGTGCCTGCTTGACAAGCGCGAGGTTGTAAGTTCAATTCCCGGTACCAAAAAAAGAAAAAAAAGAAAATGTAAAAATATGAGTAACCATCCTTGCTAAAAAAGTTATAAAAAATTTTGCTTTTTATAAGCATTTCTCAAATTACATAAATATTGCATCTTAATAGGGAGAAATCTAATTAAATTAAGCACAGCAAGTTGAAGGATCACTTTGTATTTTGGAAGTGCAGAATGTACTTCTGACAATGATTTTTCTGTTATCCTTAAATTCCTTTAAAAGCAACTAAAGAAGAAAGGAAATATGAAACTCAGGTCTGAAGCAACTGGAAGTACAGACTCGGTTTTGCATCCTCGGAAGGAAAGCTTACCAAAAGCGAGGAGTACCTGAGAACAGCAAGTATCTAGGAGAGGTGGACTTACTTCCCTCCGCCACTGCTGAGCGCCGGCGCAGGCCTGGTGAGCAGGTCGGAAATCTGTGAGGACAGCTTGGTCTTGGCTGCCGTCTGCTGCTGCACCCGGACTTCAGCCGCGTCTGCCAAGTGCATCAGCGTCTTTCTCTCGGGGCTCTCTTCAAAATTCTTACAGCCGATACACTTGCATATCGAAGAGCACATTATTTTTGCCTAAAAGATTAGTTTGGAAACAGAAAGTTTCCAAATCAAAACCTATAAGCAGACGCCACAATCAAGCCAACAGACGGTGTGGTCAACTGGGGTAAGATTAGGCAGAAGCACCTTTTGCAACAAGGCCAGCCACCGTTCTGGACCTTTCCTGCCAGCTCTGCCCACCGTGAGCATGGACTCCCCTCTCTACGAATGACACAGCTTTTCCATGAGTGTGGATGGGACACTAAGGTATGACCAGCGACAGCCACGCAGTACCCAGCTGCTCCAGCCAAGCTGCCATTCACACTCCAGTGAGCATACAATCCCCGTGACAGGGGCAGGGTAGTGATGGCCTCGCAGAGCACTGCGGACAGCCTGCCCTGGTGCACGTGCCGCAGGTCCACCCCAAATTGCTTATTAATATTTACATATTCATGACAACTGTTACATGATATGGTTTAAACATAAGCCTATTTTGATCAAGTACTCAAATAGGAGAAATGGTCAAAATATTTCAGGAGCAGATAAAAAGCTTGGTGAACTTGGAGATGTTACTTTCAAAAGCAGTTTCGATTTTATGCAATTTGTACTTGCACTGACTGCACCACTAACAGAATGTTACTCTGCTATCCTACTTTACCATTTAATGGGTAAATCTGGGCAGGATTCATTACACAACATTTTTTAAACACATCAGTATAGGCATCAAACTCCTGGACACACCTGAGATACAGGGGACCGCTGGTGGTCTTACTCCACCAGGAGCACTGAATGAAGTCCCCATGGAGCATGACCTCCGAGAGGAGGACAAGCGGGATGAGAAGGCACAGTGAAGTTTCCCACGTGCTGGGAAGCCAAGGTGAGCAGTGGGGCTCACTAGCTGACCAGACTGGTGTGTGACACTTTGGTGATGGAAATACACAGCTGTGTTTTGTTGGGAGTGAAGGGCAACTGCTCCCTCCAGGGGAGACAGCTGCCCAGAAATAAGGAGCTGCTGCCTGTGAGTGACAGCACTAGAATGAGAATGGGTGTGGTCACCTCACGGACCAGGAACCCTGTACACCCTCCCGCCAGTTTTGATACTGACAAGACAAGCTGTGGGGCAGAACTTTCTGTCACAGACCACACTGCTGGGCATCTGGGTCAGGGCAACCCTCTGTAGCGGACTGCTGCCTGAGCCCTGTATTTCAGAGCAGCCCCTTGATAGCGGTACCGAGTGCCTCTCCTGGCTGAGGCAGGCTCTAGCCCGTCAGCCTCTGCGACCCTGCTGCTCTTACTGAAGCTGGGACCAACTGTGGGACTCCAACAGCAAGCGAGGCTCTGCTTGGCAGCCCCGACAGCCTGGGCTCACCTCATAGCACTCGCAGTAGTTCTTGAGACAGCCCGAGCGCTTGCAGTTGCAGCCCTTGCTGTGCCGCCGGTCTGACTCGCCCTCCTTGCCTTTCCCGATCTTCGGCTTGAAGGCCTCGGGGTTTCTGTCCAGGCAGGCCTGCCAAACAGACCTCTGTCAATGCGCTGAAGCCACCGCGCACTGTGCACGCATGCTCATGGGTCATCTGACTTTTCTTTACAAGGCAACAGGGTTTAAAAGTCAAGTCGAAGGGGCTGGGGATTTAGCTCAGCGGCATAAGTGCCTGCCTGGCAATGCACAGGTGTGAGTTCGATCCCCAATACCGGTAAAAAACAAAACAACTGAGAGTAACTAGGTTTTTGTCACATAAATAAAAAAAAAAATCACCTTTATTGCTTTTTGCCTTTCATTTTCATGTTCCAAATTGTTATAGCAATTAGTACAATTGCAGTTGTTGCAGAATTCACCATTTGCGAAGCAATCACAGTATCTGGAAGGTAAAAATCAGTCTAAGACTATAGTCACTGTGAAATAAAGCCAGTAACTAGCTAGTTATATACACACATGTGCATAATGCATGTGGGAAGCAGCTGGGAAACACACACAAGTGCCACCTAGTAGCCAGGTGATTGTCGAGCTCAAAATTTAAGTCACCAATTCCTAGAATTTGGGCCCGAAGCTTAGCATAAATAACAGCTGTGAGCACGGGAGCGATAGGGTTTTGCGCGCCCCAGTGTGAGCCATGGAAAAATATCCTTTGCTGAGCCGGAGCAGTGCTGCTTTGGGTTCCGAGCCCCTCACACACAGCGCTGCTCCACACCACCTCAGCGTCTCACTCAGTGCACAGGAAAACACGAGGTCACAGGCTGGGGATGTACCTCAGTGGTATAAACACCTGCCTGGCAAGCACAAGGGTTTGATCCCTGGTACCAAAGAGTTTGATCCCTGGTACCAAAAAACAAAAACAAAAAAAAACCCCTCAAGGTCATTACTGCTTGTCACCAAGGACATGAACGGTGCCTATCGTGTGGTGTGTGGTCCTGGCCAATGGCCTGGGCATCACAAAGATGTCCAGACCATTTCTGTCCATTGGCACTGCTGCATGTGCACACACATATCACTCTGTCTAAATTACTCAGACTGACGAAATTGGTCTGCTCAGAATTTAAATTAGCTCTATTTATTTTTAAGAGCATCTCTAGCTATATAAACCATGAAAACAATACAAAATACACTTACAATTTCAAGCATAGAGATTTTGTACAATTACAGGGTTTCCTGGGCCGACTGGCAGACTCTGATGGGATTATCCTGTACAGATACACAGAAACACACATTTTAATCCATTAAACGTAACTATTTACAACTATAAAAATCTCCAATCTTCAATGTTTTCCTGAAATAAAGCTTGAACAAACATATCCATCTCTAGTAAGTGTGCTGTGTTGTTCTATGTAAATACAGATTTCAGTTTCCCCAATACCCTTGGCTTCAGTGACATAAGACATCGAGGAGAAGTGGTGGGAGAGCTGGGCTCTGAGGGAGGACAGTGCCCCAGCACAGATGGTGCCAGCCCAGCTTCCAGCTTGTACTGCAGGGCCGAGCCAGAGCAGCGACCAGTGGGAGACAAACCAAGAGCTTCACGTGCCTTAAAAACATTCGGCGTTGGTGTAGAAACAAACTCAGGATGAGAGGGAATAAAGTGGCACAGCTGGTGAATAAAGGGTAGCTGGAGTTGTTTATTTCTGCAACTTGTCTGTCTGAAGTATTTCCAAACACACAGTACTTGGGAGGCCTGTTCAGACCACTGTAAGGGGACATCAGACACGGTGTCCGGGCTGCATTTCAGTCGCCCCACACCCAGTACACAGGCCTGCCAGGCGCTCACCCATTGAACGGAAGCCTCGCCTGCGTCTGGACCCCCGGTGCTCCAGTGAAGGCCGAGCTGCTCGCTATGGACACGTATGACGACTGCTGCAGCTGCATGCAAAGAGGGCGGATTAAGCCTCAGACACGGGGATCAAGAGAAGCACAGACGCATCCACCCAAGTGGAAAGCAATACAATAATGAATTCCTACAAACACCTGCATTCTTCCTGCAACTATTTTTTTTTTTTTCTTTTTGAGGCAGGGTCTCACCATGTAGCCCAGGCTGGCCTCTAATTCAAGACAGTCTTCTGCTTCAGCCCCTCATGAGTGCTGAAATTATACATATCCGCCACTGTGCCTAGCTTTATGGAGCTCTTAATACTAGAGGTGAAATAACATGAACATTTTAGTACACTAATACCAAATGCTATAAATACAAGAAATTATTTCATAGGAGTATGCTATGATTGTAGAAAATTTTAAAAACTTATATAGGAAATTCTAAATGGATACCCTAAAAATACTAAAATAACTTCACTAGTTAGAAAAATGCGCCCTACATGTAAATAAATATTGATCATTAATCAATTACAAATCATAGATAACGAGGTTGCATGCATAACTGAGTGTCCACTGCACAGGGATTTTTCCTTTTTCCTTTTTCTTCCTCTTTACTGCCTGCCTCCCGCCCTGTTTCCTCCCTCCCTGGCACTGCTGGGTGGGGAGCAGGACCTTGCACACGCTGGGTGAATATTCTAGACCAGCTCAGTCCGAGCCCACTGATTTCCAAACACAGAAAGGTAATGAGGAGAATACCGCCTGAGTGTGGTGATGCACATGCTGCCCGGGAGGCTCACAGAAGAAGCGCAAGTTCAAGCCCAGTCTGGCAGCTTAGCATGACTGTCTCAAAAACGATGACTAAATGAACCAAAGGTCTGTAGATGCAGCTCTACTCAGAAGTGCCAGTCTTCCCAGCACTGTCAGGGCAGGGGTGGGGGTGGCAGTGGGGCTGGGGCTGGGGCAGCTGAAAGAACATCTGTTGGGCTTAATGGCCTATCTCAGCAATCCTAGCACATTGGGAGGCTGAGTCAGGAAGATCACAAGTTCAATTCCTGTCTGGGCAACTTAGTAAGATGCTGCCTCAAAACACAAAAGGAGCTGGGGATGTAGCTCAGTGATATAGCTGCTGGGTTTGATCCCCAGTGTCAACAAAGCAGAGCCAAGCAAAACAGACCTGAACACTAGTTCGCATACATCTCATTGAAGTACCTGGATTGGTCTCCACTTCTCTCTGACAATGGGAGCCGGTTGCCTCTATACTTTAGAACACTGTTTGATCCTTGCATGACAAAACAAATCCTCCACCTGCTTTCCGAAGGGCGTGCCACACCTGGACAGCCAGGTGGTGCGTGACTCCGGTCTATAAGGGTGGCTTATGACAGTGGCCAGTCTCCGTGGCCAGGCATCTGGAGAAGCCTCCCACCGTTCACTCTCCAAACATAAGGCAGCGGTCTTGGGTGCAGGCGCGGGCGAGCCGAGCCTAGGCAGTCTCCCAAGCACCCTGCAGCTCGGCCGACTCCCGCTCCTCCATCCTGTCCTCCTGTTCACCAACCGCACACAGTTCCAAAATGCCTGCTTTTTAATTTTACTTGGGTCAAAATGCTAACAACACAAAAATAAACTCTTGTGCTTCAGATAACATTTCAATATTTTAGAAAGAACCGTGTTAATCCTAAGTTTGATGCTTCTGAACAGTTTGACAACACTGTAGTGCTAGACCTCCTCACCTCAATCTCCTTTTTGCAGCGCGGTAACATACCTGAGTGACATACTGAGCCGGAAGTACCGCGTAGCCCACGTTGCCCGTCCCTGGGGCGGGGGCCAGGACAGTTCCTGGGGGCAGGCTGGTGAGGTTGGGCTGGATCTGGGGCAGTGGTGTGGCAGGCATGATGAGCCGCTGCTGGGGCTGGCTACTGGTCACAATCTGTGACGCTGGATTGATTGGTTTTGGAACAACCTAAAAAAGGAAATTTTGTGCTCAGTGGTCATAAAAAAAAAAAAAAAACATTTGGTACTGGGGATTGAACTCATGACTATGTGCTTGCAAGGCAGGTGCTTACGCTGCTGAGCTAAAGCCCCAGCCCAACAAAAATAAATTTTATAGCTGTACAAATTAGTATCAGTCTCTTACACCTAACTCTGAACTCTGAACTAGAGAGTACTTGCCACTTGGGAGAACTGAGAGAAGTCATGGGATACTCACTTGTTTGACAGCCTGCGCTGGGACGAAAGGGCCTGACATCCGCACTGGGGCTGCATTAACGACCACTGGCTTCGCTTTTAAAAAAAGAAAAACACGTGAACGACTCATAGAAAACAGTCCTCAAACCCTCAGGTGGCTGAGCTCTGCCAGGTGCCCGCAGGGAGTGCGCAAGGCCTCCCTTCCCAGCATCTGTCCGGTGCCCTCTTTCCTAGCGGAGGTACCATTGGCACTGCCCACCGCCCAGCAGAGGGCTCCACCTAGCAGCCACAGTCCGTCTCCTGGAGAGGGAGGTCTGTAAGGCTCAGGAGCTATTGGCTTCACACATTCAATAGTCAGTCCAGCCACAGCAAGGGGTGAACAAAAGCACAGCTCACAAGCCTGGTGAACGACACTATTTTACCTTACTATTTCTAAGTGCTGTCTTTCTATCCAAACCAGAGAAAATATTATTCTTGCGTAACTCAGCACCTACAGAATTGATACTGAAAGGCAGCAGGGCCAAATGGCTGAGGAGGCAGGGACTAAAGTCATGCACCCAGGGCTCATGGCCCAGTTGGACCCTTGTGGTCATCTGCTTGAGCCTCCACTCTCACAGAATCGGGACCTGGCAGGTCACCAGGGGAAATGATTGGATGCGTGTCTGACACACAGTAAGTGCTCTGTGAGCGTAGTGTTCGTCACTGTTACCTCGGTTGACATTACTGTAGACGTGGCATTACTGCCAGTGTTCCAGGGAAACTGAAGCTTGGGACCCCTGGCTTGCCAGATCATGTTCTAGCAGAACAGACAGGCAAGTCCCAAATAAAAAAAATACTATCGAAGGGAATAAATTGTGGGGTTTCAAAGGACAGAGAATATGTGTCTTATTAGCAGAGATTAGGGGTATGGGAACCTTTCTTGTAGCTGGGGCCCATGGCACACACCTGTAATACCAGTACTCTGGGAGGCTGAGGCAGGAGAACCCTGAGCCCAGCGTAGGCAAGTTAGTGAGACTTTGTCTCAATAACTAAGGAGGGTATCACTCACTGCAAAGGGTTCAATCCCCAATACAAAGAAGGAAAAAAAAGATCACAGACAGTGTGTGTAGGGAACACAGGGATGAGGCCCTGATCACTGGCAGGTGGCAGACAAGGCAGCCCAGCCAACAGAGGTGTGAGAAGTGGAGGGAATGCAGAGGGGAAGGTGAAGAGCGCGAGTTCCACCAGGGGCTGAGGGTAGCTGCAGCGTGGGGACAGGTGCGGCACGGGCAGTGGTTCCTGAAAGGCTCTCAGGGGTCAGAAAAGTGAGGGCTGTGAGAATTTCAGACTTAAGGATGAGCCAACCTGAGGGAGGATGAAACTTGCCCTGGAGAGCTAACGGGTGACCTGCAGGAGGGGTCAGTGCTGGCCCACAGATCAGGCCAGAGCGAGGAAGCGTAGTTCTTTTTTTTTTTTTTTTTGGTCCCGGGGATCGAACTTATAACTTCACACTTGCAAGGCAGATGCTTATGCTGCTGAGCTAAACCCCCAGCCCCGGAAGCATAGTTCTTAAGGCTGCTTCCTGCATGGGATAGGCCTAAGAGCAGGACAGGCACCCCTCTGGGCCTCGAGAAGCGCTAGACAGCTGCATAGCTCTGGCATGCATGGAAATCCTGCATACTCTGCAATTCAAAGGGGTGAATTCTGAGCCAGTGCAGTGGCACATGCCTGTAATCCCAGCCCTCTGGGAAGCTGAGGTGGGAAGACTGCAAGTTCAAGGCCAGTCTGGGCAGTTCAGTGAGGCCTGGTCTCAGAATAAAAATAAACAGTAAATTTTGTAGTGCATACATACACTGTGCCTCACTAAGGTTTGACACAGAAGCTGGGTACAAATGTGCAGGACAGGATACCGACAAAGCTGGGCACAGTGCCAAATGCCTGTAGTCTCGGCTACTCAGGAGGCTGAGGGGAAAGAGACAGCCTGGGCAACACAGCAAGATGCTGCCTCAAGATGAGAGAGAAAGGAGCAGGACACTGACCTCCATCTGAGCTTGCACCTGCTCTGGCTCAGCTCTCCTCGGCAAGCCGAGCCAGAACGACGTTTCCTCAGCAACACGAAGGCATGTGTGCAGTGACACTAACCGCTGGGCAATTGTGTCTTGGCCACACCAGGAATGATGGTGAGCCCAGCACATGGCGGGGACGCGGGGCGCACCCTCACCTGCCCCCCAACACAATGGTCAGTCCCGAGCTGAAGTAAGATCCAGGGAGAGGAAGGCTCACTGCTTGCTGCTGCTGAGTGTGGCCCACTGCCTGTGTCCAGCCCTTGGAAGAAGCAGAGGCAGTGGGAAGAAGCAGAGGCAGTCTGCTTGCCCACAGAACGAGGACAACCTAATGGTCAGATGCTGCACCCTGATGCCTTGGGAAGGGGAGGGCACAAAATGAAGCCAACAGCTTGTGTTTCCCCTCCACCTGGCTTTGGGGTTTGCTGCTAACGATGGCTGCGGTGTTCACTAAAGCTGGCATCATCTTCCACTTTTCAGCTTTCACAGGAAAGCTGAATGGTTCTTTACAACAGCGTCCATTCAAACCTCACAAGCATGGCAGTAAGTGTCTGAGGCTTCCTAGCTCCTAGGTGAGGTATCTGTCTGCCCTCGTCACCCCTGCCAGGAAGCCAGCCAGGCACACTGAGACTCACGCAGCTGGGACAAGTATGCGCCTCTCGCCATTAGGACTTTAGGAAGGCACGCTAATACATTTGATGAACTGGAGCCACCCATTGGAGACCTCTAATAAAAACTACGTATTTATTTTATTGTTGCAATAAAATAATGACAGCCTATAAATGTACTCAGATCTTTCATAGGACAGGAAAGAAAGAAAAAGAGACACACTCAGGTGAATATAAGAGAAACGTCATGGCCCGGATGTGCAATGGGTTGGGAGGGAGTACAGAAGGCAAGGTGAAGGAGGCAGAGATGGACAGGAAACGCAGCGAGGCAAGGGCAGTGGAATGCAAGAAAAGGAAGTGGTCAGCTGGGCATGGTGAAACACACCTGCAAACCCAGCACTGAGGGAAGCGAGGCCGGAGGACTGTAAGTCCAGCTGGACAACATGTAGCAAGACCTTGTTTCAAAATAAAAAATATAAAGTGGCAGAGCAGCCCCTGGGCTTTATCCCCAGTACAGGGCCAGAAGGTGGAAGGAGACGGGAGAGAAGAAGCTGGGGGAAACAGCAGCGCTGCCAGAGAGGAAAAAAAAGGAGAGACACCTAACAAGACAGCCATGAAGCTAGCACAGGCAGCACCAGGACAGACGCTGGGATCCTCTACTTGCCTGAGTCTTCTGATCTGCGTCAAAACTTGCTAATGAGCTAACAGGGAGAGTGGGTGTGCCACAGCGGCACACACATAAACACATGCACAACCTTTCATGCACTAGCACCAACACACGCTGCTGTCCACCATCATGCCATCTAAGCACGGTGGGTCGGTGGCTTCTCTCGGTCCCTGTGTAAAGTGCTGTACTGAAAGAATACAAAACTTGATTCCGTAAGTCAACTTCATTCAGAATGCTATAAAAAATTTTCTTCCAATTTCATTTTTCCTCTTATTAAGAATGTAATAAAAAAGATTTTCTTCCAATTCCAGTTTAAATTGGGATTAGAAAATACAATTATAGCAAGGGATGGTGATGCATGCCAGTAATCCCAGCACTTGGGAGGCTGAGGCAGGGGGATCACTGCAATCTGAGGCAAGTCTGAGGTAAGACTTGAACTGCAAGTTCAAGGTCAGTCTGAACTGCAGTAGAATACATATGAAAATGCTGTTTACTCCATTTCCTCAGAGGTGGATGAGTTGTTATCAGCACCCAAACTCTGATGTCTTAATTAGATGAAAAGTAACCAACAGCCTGTGCCCTCCCACATAGCTACACCCCTGCACCGATGTTTACTTTAATAACCAGCCATCAACTTTTGTTTTTGAAAAACAAAAACAAACAAACAAAAAACCATAGGTCTTGCTATATAGCTCTGATTGGCTTTGAACTCACTATGCAGCCCAGGATGGCCCCAAACTTGCATCGATCCTGGGATTATAGGTGTGTGCCACCACACCTGGCCTCAAACACATTTTGACTTGCTGGAATATAAAGCAGTCTTCCACAGAAAAACTCAAGCTCTATACCAACTCTTTCATGCCATTTGGTTTTTTACAAAGTAGATAAATAGAAGAAAGGTTATGTATGTGTCTGTGTTTACTACAGGTGGTAGGAAGGATTAAACAGGAAAAATAGAAGAACCGCAAAGAAGGGTACCTTCTAGGAAAACTACAGTTGAGTGAAACATTTTAGTCACTTTTTCTTAGCAGCCACAGATTCAAAATAAGTACTATGCAAAAACAGAGAAGAGCAATATTAAATTCTTACTGATTTGTACTCTGCCTATTTGTCATTTCAACTGACCCAGATTGTACCAAGGAGCAAGGTAGTTTCAAAACAAAATAACTTTTATTATGATTTAAAATTGTCTTATTAATTAAAATAAGTAACTCCAAGCCCAGTGACCATGACTATCCAGTGTTATAGCACACCTCTAGCTTCGGACCCCCGTAGAAGGAAATGCTAGCCATCTGTCACTCTGGTCTGTCTTGCTGTCTTCTTCAACAGTGGGGGTTCCAACCTCCAGCTAAGATCAGCGCTTAATCAGAATTTCAGCAAGAAAGGAACTGATGCTCTACCTCAACCCTGGAAGCACTCACTGCGACCTCTGGATGGTGGGTGGTAGGGCCTCACCTTGCTGCAATGGCTGGGTGTTGGTGCTGGGGTTCTGACTGGTGGGCGGGGTAGAGCTGCTGGCAGTGGTGGCGGTGACAAGGCGGACATAGTGGAACTTGCTGCCAGGCACTTGGATCTGCTGGACGTTGGGTGAGGTGGCCAGAGGAATAATCGTCTTAAACTGAGACGTGCTCACTCCCCCGACAGTGATAGTCTGCACAGCTGATTTCACTGCCTGTTAAGCAACATGATACGACACTGTTAGCAGTAATGCAACTTTCCTGCTCATTGAACTTTAAGACAGTTGCCCAAGTAGTAAAGAATGCTCTTGGACTACACGAAAAACTGCGGGAAGAAACAAGCTTTTCAAACAGAAATGAAAGAGAATGATAATGAATATCAGGGCAAAATCTAAACTTACGAATTCTACCTCCCACTGCTAGTAGTTAACTTCTTTGTTCAGGTCACAGGGCTTGCTACAGAGAAATGACTACTTAATTTATAAGAACTTACACAATTTTTGCACTGTTAGGTAAAATTTTTAAGAAAAAATTATTTTTAAATTCCCACAATTAAATCCCATATTCCAAAGAGAAAAGAAGATATAGATATCTCTCCCAAAGTAACTATAATAGTTTATATTCACATGTTCCAAAGAAGAAGATACCTTTCCAAAAAGCTTGGCAAACATCTTTACCAGGCCCAGTCAGTTCTGAAAGGTCTGCAGTACCCACCCTTCCAGATCAACAAGGACCCATTTAACATGGGCAGGATGCAAATTCAATACTGGTCATCTAGGGAAAATTAGCAGTTAGGTGAATCAGATCTTAGCCTTTTAATTAATTTTAACCCTTTTCTTCAGTGTGACGGAAAGCAGTAAGACTTCGCCCAAAGCTGAATGAAGCATTGGAGGTAGAGCAGGAGAAATGAGCTCCCTGGAGGTCCCTGGCTCACGGCGGCACACTACACCCACAGCGGAAGGTGCTCTCACTGGCTGCATGAGCTGTTCTCTGAAGGCCATGCTTCCACTCATTCTACAGAGAGGCTGCACGGTGGCAAGCGATGGCCGTATGATGGAGGCTCTTTCCTGTATTCACTGTGAGAAAAGTAACTAATAAAATCACCCGTAAATATTTCAATGCCTCCATAAGAGCCCAGGAAAAAACAAGAGGGGGAACATCCTTTGACAACCAGCCCAAGGCATTTCAGTCCAAGATTATGTTGGCATTATTCGTGCATTCGAACTAACAACGCCTGCAGTAGTCAGTGAATGAAATGAAAACAGAAAGCACAAAGACTAAAACGCAGACATGGAAGCCGTTGAAAACCCCAGCAGCCCGCAGGGCTGACGAACACACAGTCATCTCAACTCAGAACAGGAGACGGCACTACGCAGAGAACGAGGCTTCCCACAGTAATGGATCTGCCTGTGACAGTAACACTCAGGCGTCACACAGCACACGCAGATTAAACAGCGTGAACCTGGTAACCACGTGTGATGCAGTGGAGCCCAGTGAGTCTCCTCCTAAGGTGTGTGTACTTAAGGAGCATCCGCCACGAAGCACACACGTGTCAAAGGGTTACAAGCAGGCAGGAAACTGCCCAACCCCTCACGCATAACCCTTTTCTGTTTTTGTGCAAGAACAACTAGAAGTAGTTAATACAGCAGGAATCCTAAACACAGTTCAACTGCATCAACTACAGTTCTCACGTGTGTTGCTCTAGGGCCCCTGGACTAGCTCCTCTTCCTCATTTCCTCTGCTACCACTGTGGTGCCTGGCCATCTGGGAAATGTAGCTTTGCTCTGTCTGTACTGTACTCTTCCCATCAGATTCCATTAACTGATGCCATGCAATAACCTCCTCCTGCTCACATATTTCACTTAACATAACGCCTCCAGGTTCATTCATCCTGTGGCAAATGGCAAGTCCTTTTTTAGGCCCAAATAACATTCCACTGTGTACGTGTGCATTTGAGAGAGACTGCAAGACTGGGATTCATGGATTGTGTGCCCACTGTTAGTGCTGTGAGCGACCCGCAGTGATGTGGGCTGCCTGACCTAGGAGGTGGTGACTTCATTCCCGTTGGGTTTATGTCCACAACAGAGTTGGGACTCACACCGAGGCAGCGCCTTTCTTCTCTTGAGGCAGGGAGCTGCCCTGGGGCCTGGGCTAGTCTCCAACCTGCAGGCTCAGCCTCTGCGTCCACGGCACACATCAACACACCCGCTGACGTTTGAAGACTTTAGGAATCTCCAGCCTCCCCTTGCACGATCCATTCTGTGTTCCCATCAACACTGTGGGGCTCCATTCTCCTAACAGGCCATGTGACACCGATCCTTCAAGGTTTCCTCCACAGCCATCCTACCAGGTGTGGGCCGGACTCACACTGCCTAAGGATTCCTGTGAGCACTTCTCATCTACCTCCTGTTTTTATATCTTCTTTGGAGAAAAGTTTATTCAAGCCCTTTGCTCATTTTGCTCTCATGAGTTGTTGAGTGTTTTGTTTGTTTCGTTGGCTTTCTTTTTTTTTGCAAATTTTGGATACCAACCTCTTACTGGCTACCCAGTTTGCAAAGATTTCCCCCCAGTCCATGGCTGCCCATCTCATTTTGTCATTTCCTTCGCTGTGGAGAGCATCTTAGTATGGTACAGTCCCATTTCCTTATTTTTGCTTTTACAATGTTCACTTTTGGTGTGCTATCTCCCTCCCTGCCCAAAAACAAAAAATAAAACAAAATGCAAAACACAACACAACCATGGCCAAGGCCAATATCCAGAGCTTCTCTCCATCAACTGCTGGGAATTCCAGGGCTTCCACTCTTCCACCAGACCTTTGTCCAGTTTGGGGTGGTTTTGTGTTTGTGGTCTGACAAGGGTCCAGACTCATCCTTTTCCAAGTGGTCACCTTGTCCCCAAGCATTGTTTCCACAGACTGCCCTTCCCCGCTGTGTATTCTCTGAGCTTTTGACCACACGACTAGGTTTACCTTTGGGATTTTTATTTTGTTCCACTGGTTTCTGAGCCTGTTTTTATGCCACTCCCACACTGTGTAGACTATTATAGCTCTGAAATCATTTTACACTAATTTTAAGTCAGTAAGTATGATCCCTGGTTCTTTTGAGACTTCACTTGAATTGCAGGATTGTTTTCTGTATTCCTGTGGAGGCTGCCATTGAGACACTGATGGGGATGGTGCTGAGTCTGCAGACTGCTCTGGGCAGGTCCATACTATCACAGTGCTGACCCTTCTGGTCTGTGAGTGTGATCAGCTCTTGTCCTTTGGTCCCTTTTCAACTTGTGACCACCAGTGTTCCCTTTTCTATTTCTTTACATTCAACTTTTTGCCTCCTACACTTAAAGAACTTCTGCACACTGTATATAATTGGATCTTTTAAAAAAAAAAAAAGACTTGCCAGGAATGGTGGTGCACACTATAATCCTGGCACTCGGGTCGAGGCAGGAAGATCACAAATCCAAGGTCAGCTTGGGCTACACAATGAGTTTAAGGCCATCTGACTACATAATGAGGCCTTGTCTCAAACACAACACCATGCAACACAGCACAGCAGAAAATCTAGACTGTCTAGTTCATCATTCCCTAGCTTACGGCCTCAGGTGAACGAACTTCAGAAAACGAGGAAACAATGCTTTTCTAGGGACTACTGGGAAGATGGAATGAGCTAAACTGTATAAAATGTAAGTTACATGGTATATCAGTTTTTGAACTTCATTTGTTTTACAATTTGGGGGAAGATGCCTGTGGTTATGTTTGTCACCTGTTATGGAATTTGCAAATGGAAGGAAAATTTTGCTGAACACTTTGGTTTGTGAACAAATTGTTTGTCCCCAGAAGCATTCGTAAACGGAGGTATTACTGTGTAAGTTGTATGTCCTGTACTGCGAAGCTCACCACTGTTTGTATCCCCAGTGATATGACCATTTTAGCTAGGGAGACTGAATCTCAGATGGAGGAAGTGACTTCTCCAAGGCCACACAGCTGGCAAGGAGCCCGACCTCGATCTGAAGCAGATCCAACTCCAACACCCATTCCCTAAATCAAAACTACACTGTCCTGCTGTCCGGGCCTGATGAACACTAGCTTTTATTCAGTTTTTTTACTGGCGCATGTTCTCAGTATATAATGACTACACTCCTGGTGGGAAGTTGGTGCAGGTATATACCACACCTTAGTTCTTTTTCCATCCCCTTTAAACTGAGTAAACGACTGCATAATCCAGTCCTCAAGGACAGTGTAAGGAACCCAAATCCCACATCTGTCATAAAGAATGCCATTCTTTTCTGAGAGATATACTGAACAGAGGTGTGGGTGTAATTTTTAAGAGTTTAGTCTCCCACACCCTTCCCCACACAGTCACACTTTACACCCACTGAACGTTCCCCAAACCAGGAGCCCGAGGCTTGTTATAGCAAGCTTGGTATAGCCTACACTGCAGAACACTGCGTTCAGAGCCCACCTGGCTGTGTGCAAGCTGGTGTCCTGCTCCAAGTGACCTTGTCACCTGCACATTACTTGGTCAATACCAGCGACCTGCAGAGCCTCCCTGGCACGATCTGCCGATCTCGTGCACCTCGGCCCTCGCCAGCAGCCACTGTGGAGATGCACCGTCAGCACTCAGAGCGCTCAGCAGCTCACAGAGGTTGACAGTTTAAAACTGCCAAAGACTGACACACTCAATCGCCCGTCACCGCTGGGATGAGCTGTGGCAGATCGTTCCCTTTCCTGAATCAGAGGCCTGAGGACTGCGCGAGCGCATCCCTGAACACGCCCCATGTCACTCAGAAAGCACCTTGCAGCAGCCCCCTCTCACTGCTGTTCTAACAGGAGGACAGAGGTAGCCTGACTGAAATTCAAAACAGCTACACTAAACAAGCTCTTAAAACTGCAGACTCAGAGCTGGGCGTGGTGGCTTACACCTGTAATCCCAGCACTTGGGAGGTTGAGGCAGGAGGATCACTTTGAGTTCAAAACCAGACTGAGCTACAAAGTGAGCCCAAGCTAGCCTGAACTGCACAGTGAGACCCTGTCTCAAAGACAAACAAACAAATACCCTGCAGACTCTTGAAGGATTTGTCTTAATCTGTATTATTTCCTAAACCATTTCTACTTTCAGATTAGTATCACAATTATGTATTTAAAACAACTTCTTTGATTTTTATTTTCTACTTGGGAAATACCCTATCACATATCCTTAGTTACCTGCAGATTTACTGA